CTCCAGGGTCTTAGTTTCCCCCCTTGGCACTCAGTTAAGGTATTATAGGCTACTAGTTAGAGCTTGCCTAGTCTCCTTTCATCACCAGCAAGGAGTTCTTGCATTAAACATTTTTTAAATTAAAAAAATGTAAAGAATTATTAATATTTACTTGTTAAATCAGAAAAGGTAAATTAAAGCAAGGGACTTGGGATAGATAAACAGAAATATATAATTATTGCAGGTAGTTTTGAAAATTGGAATCGTTTAGGGACTGAAAACTTAAATGTTTGTAGACAATAGGCAGGTAATTCTAAATGGACTAGAGTATGATTATTGGGAATTGTGGCAAAATGGAGTGTAGAGGCCCTGACTTAAGACATTAAACAATGACAACATCAACAAGAAACATGAAACACCTGCCATGTGGGCCAGCGGGGCTAAGTTTAGCCTGGAGGCACTGGGTTACGGCAGCCTCTTGATTGGATCATAATATAGCAATATGCATGTGTCATATATTACCAAAAGTGGCAATACAAGAAGTGAAGAAATTAATTGGGGCATAAAATGTTCTTTGCTCATGTATTTAAAGAAAAAAACTGGAAACCATTCAAATGCCTAATAATTGGAGACTAATTATTCAAACTATGATATAACTACATAACCATTTATTTATTTATTTATTTATTTATTTATTTATTTATTTATTTGACATTTTTCCATAGATAGAGTGGGAGAGAGAGAGAGAAACATCGATGTGAAAGGGACACATTGAGTGGCTGCCACCCACATGACCCAACCAGGGCCGGGGACAAACTGCAACTGCGGTACATGCCTTTAGCGGGAACTGAACCCGGGTCTCTCTGGACCGCAGGCCGACGCTCTAACCGCTGAGCCAAACTGGCCAGGGCTACATAACCATTTGAAGCACAGAACTTATAGAGAGTGCCAGAGTGTGGGAATGTACATATGTAAAAGTTAAATGAGAGTAAAATACAAAATTATAAATGCAGATGAGTTACAATATATGTTAACAAAGATTGGAAAAGAATTTGGAGTGATGTAAATAGTTTGACTCTCATCAGATTTTTTCTTTCCTGAAAAGAAGCTTAAATGTACTATGAAGAAAAAGGAAATGCAGGTCACCTCTATGAAGAACATCAGTAAAATATCTAGTCATCCTTTGGATTTTTACCAGAAAGAGATGACTTGATTTCCTGCTCTGTTTTACACTGTATTTTGTTCCTACCTCAGAATTCTGTTTTTACTTTTTCCTGTTCACCCTACTTTATAAGTATGGATCCACAGAAAGTGATCCTACTTCTTGAATGACACCCCTCCTTTTATGCTACTCATGGGTAGGCGCTGTGCCAAGTCCCTGGGGTAATGTCAGAATTTTGTAATTTCTTTGGCTTCAGGAATGGCCCGGACTTTGGGGGATACTTGCGGTTCTGGGATTTCCAGAATGTGGCTGCCACCGGAGTGGAGTGTCCATGGTGGTTGCCATTTGATGCCTGTGCTCAGTCTCTGCTGGGCTAGCAGCTCCTGAAATGTCTGGGGGTGACTGAAATCCCTCTCCCCCTGTTGTTACTCATTGGTGTGATGAGGGCCTCCTCAGTCTTCCGCCTGCGATCCCTTCTTACACAGCCGTCAGGCAGTGGCTGATTTTGTAAGAATCTTGGGATGACAACAGATTTCTTATCTTTCTGGTCTCCGGTGTATGTGCTGCAGGGCAGGGACTTGGCTTTGTGTCATAGGCGACTTTAGCATGGTTGGTGGGGCCATGATTTGGAGGCTCAAGGTGATTTATTATTTAAACAAAATGTTCTTTATTGATTTTAGAGAGAGAGGAAGTGACAGGGAGAGAGAGATAGAAACATCGATAAGAGAGAACATCGATTGGCCGCCTCCTGCATGCCCCCCACTGGGGATCAGACCCACAACCTGGGCACGTGCCCTGACCAGGAATCGAACTGGTGACCTCTTGGTGCATGGGTCGATGCTCAACCACTGAGCCACACTGGCCGGGCTCAGGGTGATTTAAATGAGTTCAGACTTATCACCTCTTTGAAACAAACATAAAAGTTACTTTCCGTGCCAGTGTAAAGTACAATTCTCTTGGGCAGGGACTGATAATTGGTGCAGCCCTTAGATCAGTTTCTATTGGGATTTCACTTCTTGGCTGCTTCATCGTCACGGAACTTTCTAGAAGTTGCTCCACAACGCTGATCTTGCACAATAACCCAACATATCTGTGAGTGCTTAGTCAAGGGAGTTCATTTCTCTGTGCTTAGCAATCCAGGCCTAAAGTAGATAAATCGCTTTCTTTAGTTCAGACAAGATGGGTATTTTTACAAGGAACTTGGCCAGAAATTCAGAGTGTAATTGCAGGTTAGCTTGACTGACATAGAAGTTCTTAGGTCTGTTTTTCTATTGTATTCCCTCCGACTTAGTGTTAGATGTATATATTCAGACTGCATCTTGTGGTCATTCTGAGGTGGCCCCAAAGCCGCTGTGTGTGTGAGATTCTTACTTTCTTTAGGGTATATTTGCCTCTCTGGTCCCAGAGGTCTGGTTCCTGAATGAGAAGGGCATTTCTTTCTCTGCTCACAGCTGCTGTCATCTCTTGCTTGGAACATTTTAATAGCTGTGTTAATGCTCTCCCTAAATCCATTCTGGCCTCCTGCAATCTAATCTCTTTTCCGTAGTCAGAGTTGCCTTTTGGAAATAAAGATTTGGTCACTTCACCCTTCAGCTTGAAAGCTTTCTGTGTTCTGGTCAGTGTGGCTCAGCTGGTTGTAGCATCGTCCTGTGCACCAAAAGATGGTGGTTTGATTTCCAGTCAGGGCACATACTGAGGTTGTGGGTTCGATCCCTGGTCAGGGTGCATGCAGGAAGCAACTGATGTCTCTCTGTCTCTCACTCTCTCTCTCCCTTCCTCTTTCAAAAAAAAAAAAAAAATCGATAAAAATAAATAAAAAGCTTTTGGTGACTTCCAGTTACCTTTAGGCTGCACAGAAAAACCTTCCCAGGTCTGGCCCCTCCCTCTCACCGGCCTCTCCCATGGCTCCCGCTCCCTGTGCTCCTGCCGCCGTGGCCTCCCGCAGTCCTTCACGTGTGCCTTCTCCTCTCACCGCACGTGTCCTTTCTGGCTGCAAAGTTCTGCCTCTCTCTTTTCCTCTTCTGTGAGGCCAGTCCTCCTCCCTCTGCTATGCCCACTTCCCCTAACAGCCAGGCTCCTACCATTGCACGTCTCTCCTTCTTAGAACTTATTAATGTTTAAAGTTTACGATTATTTATGAGACTCTTGGATTAAGAGTGTCTTCTACATAAGCCGATAAGCTCCATGAGGGTGAGCTGTACCTCTTTTGGCTGGGAGAGGGGCTTAACATCGCTAGTTGTAACACATACTGTGGGTGCTTATTAAATATTTGTCGAATGACCGTGATTTCTTCTTGGTTAGCCCTTCTGGAAGTTTATGGCTCTGCCTCACGTAAGTCGTCACTCCATCTATGACTTCTTTACTAGCCAGTCTACCTCGATGTAAAGGTAGGCTGAGCCCTGGCCGGTTTGGCTAAGCGGCTGGAGCGTCGGCCTGCGGTCCAGAGAGACCCGGGTTCGGTTCCTCCTAAGGGCACGTACCTCGGTTGTAGTTTGTCCCCGGCCCTGGTTGGGTTGTGCGGGTGGCAGCCACTCGATGTGTCCCTTTCATGTCGATGTTTCTCTCTCTCTCTCTCTTTCCCCCTCCCACTTTATCTGAACAAAAAATGGAAACATGTCCTTGGGTGAGGATAAAAAAAAAGTAAAGGTAGGCTGAGCTTTTATCTGAGCTTTTCAGCTTGACAGGAAAGCATCTGGGCTTAATCTTCTAGTGGCCATATATGCATCCTTCTTTTTCTTCCTCTGTGAAAACCAGGCCCTTCTCTGAGGCCGTTCTGTTTCTGACTGAGGAATCCTCGCAGCTCTGACCACCCCTCCAGGTTCTCCTTGGTGACCTCTCCTCATGAGCTCTCATTCATGGGCCTTTCCTAACCACAGCTCCAAGCCGAGAGCATGTGAGACCCACAGTGTCAGTAACGGCAGCAATAAAAGAGATTCCTTTTTCAGTGATAATGACGGTAATTAAGGGTCCTGCATGAATTTTTTTATTGCCTCTTAAACTAAATTCACGTATCTCATTGCTGCAACTTACCGTCTGTTTTGCCATGATGAAGGCATTGCATTCATAGGAAATTTTACATTCTCAAAAGTCATCATATAAAAACATTGCTTGACTAGAAAAAGAGGGGTTAGGGATTGGACAGGATTCGATTCATAATAAAGTTATTTTTCAGCCCTGGTTGGTTTGGCTCAGCGGTTAGAGCATCAGCCCATGGACTGAGGGGTCGCAGGTTTGATTCCCAGTCAAAGACATGTACCTGGGTTGCAGATTCGTTCCCCAGCCCTCGTCAGGGTTGTGCGGGAGGCATCCAACTGATGTCTCTCTCACATCGTTTCTTTCTGTCTCTTCCCCTCCCTCCCACTCTGTCTAAAAATCAGTGAAGTCCGGCTGGTGTGGCTCAGTGGACTGAGTGTTGTCCCATGGACTGAGAGGTCCCGGTTCGATTCCTGATCAGGGCACATGTAGGGGCTCGATCCCTGGAAGGGGGTGTGCAGGAGACAGCCCATCAATGTTTCTTTCTCACATCAATGTTTCTATCTCGCTCTTCCTTCTCTCTCTAAAAAAAATAAATTAAAAAATAAAATAAAAATCAGTGGAAAAATATCCTTGGGTGAGGATTAACAAAAATAAAACACCAAGCCTCCCAAACAAGCTAGCTCTGATAGACAACAGCTTTTCCCATGCTAAGGCGGTAGTTCCAGATCTAGTATAATGATGGTATATGTAGATCTGGTCAAAGTCTCTGATTTATCCAGTTTGTTTAAAAAACACAAAAATCTCAAGCCTGTAATGTTCTCAGATCTGGACAGCCTACATCAAACAATAATGCCTGTGTTTTAACGTTTTCCCCCTGAATCAGGTGATGCAGGCCCAGTGTGTCAAAACAGAAACGGAATTCTACCGCCGCAGTCGCAGCGAGATAGTGCTCGGGGAGGGGCACACCATGGGAGCCCTGTATTGGCAGCTGAATGACATCTGGCAGGCTCCTTCCTGGGCCTCTCTGGGTAACTGTTTCAGCATTCTTTGTGTGTGAGAGAGAAAGCGATACCTGTGGGGAGAGACCCTGAGAAAACACAAGAGGCCGAGGTGAGGAGGTTCTCCAGCAGCTGGTCTGTGAACTGCACCCCCCCCCCCCCCCCACAGTCTTTCCAGGAGCCCGGGAGGCAGCCTCCGCTTGAGTTCTGTGCTGTGCAAAGTCACAAAAGCAGGCTAATGAGGGCGATGGATTCTGCACGGAGATCTCAGCCACGTGTCTTATAATTATTGCTTAGATTGGAACTAATTTAAGAGGACTCTCCAGAGCAAAAGGAGCATTTATTTAAGCATCTCTTCTGTTTAGGAGAATTCAGCCATGTGGAAGGTTGGCCCTGCTGAGTCTTAAAATGTTCCTTTGCCTCACTTCCCTTGAAGTCCCTGAGGTCGTCTCTATTTTGCCCTGTTTATCTCTCGGGGGGAAGGTAGCAGAGTCAGAAGTCCAAGTAGGAAGTTCTCAATGGAACCAGTTCAACTAGTGTCAGGCAAGGTGACCGGCACTTGCAGTTTGAATTCTTCTGTTTTGGTAGAGTGAAAACATTAAAGAGTAATGATGAATCTATGACCTTCACTAGAGGTGGTTTGAAGCAAAGTTCAGTGACTACAAACCAAAGTTTGGGGTCAGAAATGAGGCAAAGCCGTAAAGTGAAAAGGCCGTGCTGCTGGGTGAGGCTCTCAAATGCTCTGCGGATGCAAATCTAAAATCCATTCACCGCCGGCATTGGTTAGTGCCAGCTTCCTTCTTTGTTGTTGTTGTTGTTGTTGGTTTAATTTATTACTGTTTGACATCCAGTGACTCTGACATGCTCCCGCTGGGCCCACAGACCCCAGGCCCCGGAGAGTGTGACCTGTCCAGCTTCCTTCTTTGATCAAGTTTCTCTAGCCAAACTCTTTGTCAACACCAACCAGATAAAAGGGTATTGAATGAGAGTCAGGGGTAGGCTGTGAGGGAATAACCTTCTGGGACACTTAACACTGACCAAGAGAGATTGTTTAGAGACATTTGGACACTCACCCTGGTTTCTCTGTGGACAAAGTTGCAGAGTTCTGAGGCTGATTTTGGTTCAAGAAATGGGAGAGCCCAATTTTTGTAAATTTTCCCTAAATGACTGCATGCAGATTATTTGGAGTTCTTCAGAGAGGGTGAGTAAACCCAAGTGCAAGAGGCTGATTGCCAAACAAAAACATGTCTGTTTTCTAAACTCTAGCAGGACAATGCCTCTGTGGAGAGGGTCATCGTCTCCTGTCCCTGTTAGAGAAAACAGGTGCCAGGGAGAAGCTGTGACAAGTTTGCTGTATCTGCTCCTGCTCTGGGCAGCCTTGGAGCCTGCTTAATTCTGCTTAATTGGCTCGATACATCCGGTGCTTATGTGCAGGTGGGGGGGGGGGGATATGTGTCACCTCTTGTCATCTGACATGGTGATTCTAAAGGGATCAATAGCTACTTGAAATCTAGATTCTTATATATTTCTTTTTTAAACATTAATCTCATTTATAGTTAGAATTTTGCAAATACAAAAAAGTCCACGGGACAGTTTGCTTGGCTCACAAACTTAAACAGTTACAGAGAAATAGCAAAGCCAGAAATCAGAAAGCATTCTTAGCTGGCTATGCAGTGTCACGATGATACCCGGACTATGTCACTGCGTAGTAACTGGGGTGTGTATTCATGAGACCTTCCGCTCAGTTGCTGTTCTCCTGAGGGTGTCTGTTTGTGGCCTTGGTCACTGGAACCATGCGTTTGAAGTCTGTCCCCTGTAATGGATGTCACATACAAGAGTGTGTACGTGACCTCAGATCTTTGTTGTTTTTAAGGGGAAATACTAAGAGTTGGGATTGAAATGCTGAGAGTTGAAATTTTGCAAAACCCAAAGAAATCAGTTCTATCTGAACTTCACAACCACAGTCCTCCATCTCAAAAGCTCGCACTGTGAATTCTGGAATCTCTGTCTCCGTCTCTGTCTCTCGGAAGTTGTTTGGAGAGGCAGTGCTTTCTTGGGAAGGATCTTTTGTCTGAAAGAGAGGAATGTTGAAATATTTATTGTTATTTTTATATTTTTTAGAGAGAGAGGTAGGGAGAAGGAGAGAAAAATCGATTGGCTGCCTCCTGCAAGCCCACTACTGGGGATCAGGCCTGAAACCCAGGCATGTGCCCTGATGGGGAATCAAACTGGCAACCTTTTGGTGCATGACACAACACCCAACCAACTGAGCCACACTGGCCAGGGCGAAATGTTTTTTAGTTTGTGCGTTTAGCATACTAGAATTGCCAACAGGGCACAGTATTCTACAGGTTCTAACAACTTGCGATGGTATTCGAGGAGCTGTCATTGATTATCGTTGTTGGGGACATTCTTCTCCAGTCCGAACTTGCTGGCCATATTAGTGATAGTGCTTATTTTGTTTCACAGGATCTGTGCTTATGGGAAAAGGAGACTTGGAGTTCTAAGTCATTCTTCCCAATGGCTATTTGTAACAGGTGTTCACTGCCAGTGCTACTGATTTCCTTCTTCATGTGTACGCAGTAAAAAGGAGCGTTGAGCTCCTGGAAGCACAATTGCATGTGAGAATGTGATAGGAGTCAGGTCCGGGCCCCAAATACTGCTTAAGCCCCCGTTTCCTCACTTGAAAAGTGGGGTGTTAATGTGTGCCTCACCCAGATGTGAGGATGATCTAAGGCAATGTCCAAAGTACTCAGAGCCCTCAGCAAATATGGGTTCCTGACCCTTCTGGATCTCCCTTCCACACTCAGTCCCTAGAATCACAACAGATCATACCCAGCCGGGCCATGTGGACGATGACTGACTGCATGACACTGCCCATCCCCTAACTTTCCGACTATTTTCAGAATACGGAGGAAAGTGGAAAATGCTCCATTACTTTGCTCGGCATTTCTTCGCTCCGCTGTTGCCCGTGGGTTTTGAGAATGAAGGCGTGTTTTTTGTCTACGGGGTGTCAGACCTTCACTCGGACTGTAACGTGACGCTCACTGTAAGTGGCTTAGATTTTCTCTCGGTGATGGAGAATTTTAGATGATTTCTTCAGTTAAAGAAAAGAGAAATTAATTTGTACCTAAATGTTTCTAGCGCCTGTAGCAGAAAATGGGCTACCCTCAGAATTGGAAAGCTTGGATTCAGGGTCAAGTTGCCATTTCTTCTGCGACCTTCAGCCTTAATGTCTTAGTGATTCAGTTTCCTCATCTGTAAAATGATATCAGCCTATCTTTTTTTGTTGTTCACCTGAGGATATTTTCCCATTGACTTGTATTTATTTTTTATTTTATTTTATTTTTTTAAAATCCTCACCTGAGGATGGAGATATATATTTTTATCATCTGGTAGAGTGGAAGGGAGGGAGGGGGAGAGAGAGAGAGACATCTATGTGAGAGAGACTCATCGAGGACTAACTGCAACCAAGGTTCATGCCCTTGACCGGAATTGAACCCGCAATTCATTGATCTCTGCAGGTCGACGCTTTAACCGCTGAGCAAGACTGACCAGGGCTTCTCATTGACTTTTAGATAGAGTGGAAGGTAGGGAGGGAGAGAGAGAAAATCATAGAGACACATCGATTGGTTGCCTCCCCCATGGACCCCAACCAGGGCCAGGGCTTGAACCTGCAACCCTTTGGTGCATGGGTCGATGCTCAGACCACTGAGCCACACCGGCCAGGGCAGTACCAGCCTATCTTTTTAAAGGCTTCCCATGGGTAGTGCATAAAGGAATGAGATGAAAGTGAATTATAAACTATCAAGTGCCACTTAAACCTAAGGTTATTTATAATCATAGAAAGCAGGGAATCCCTTAAACTTCATGAAAATGAAAGTGTTAAAAATGGCAGGTTTGAGTAGAAATCAGTACAGTTATTCAGAATGCATATGTGGAGAGAGAAACGTGGATAGAAAACAATGCTAGGTAAAAAGAGAGGGTCGAAACTCAAGTCTTGGGTGGCTGCAGTTTGGAGGACATTGAGCACAGCCCATGTGTATGGAATGGTTACAATGCCTTGGTGCTGTGCCTTCCGTAGGTGACTTTATTGACTTCTCACAACAGCCTGTGAACCTAGTGCTAATTATTATTCTCACATCACAAAGGAGGACACGAGACTTTGAGAACACGAGTAACGCGCTTAGTTACACAACTAGTACTTGGTAGAGCTGAGGTTAAACCCGGTTACATAGTCTCTTATCCAGTCCTGCTATTCTGATTTGCATCCAGAAAAGTAACCCAAGCATGTTTGTTTTTGTTCCGTCTTGTCTCCCACAGGTGAACGTCCACTCGTGGAGTTCCCTGGAGCCGGTGTGCCGTCACAGGACCCAGCATTTCGTGATGACAGCAGGGGAGGCCGTTCTCCTCTATCAGAAGCCGGTGTCTGAACTGCTGCAGAGATGTGGGCACTGCACCCCGCAAAGCTGTGTGGTTTCCTTTTACCTGTCAACCGACGACAAACTCTCGAGCTCAACCAACTATCACTTCCTGTCCTCACTGAAGGAGGCCGTGGGGCTCCAGAAGGCACATATCACTGTACGCACCGGCTGGCTGGGGTCGCGGTGGCCTCGGGCTGTGCTGCGCTGGGCAGGCACACTACAGCTTGCTCTTTGCAGACTTTTTCCTGGCAACTGGGTTTATCCGAGGTTTGGGGAATTTTGGCTTCTTTCCCCTGGAAGAAAAGGCCAAAAGATTTTTATTTCTAATTCAGCATTTGTCGAAGTGTTTGGTTTGTGCTGTCCCTCGTGGGGTCGTGCAGTGGAGGGAGAGGCATCAGGGACATCACCACTGAGCCCCTGCCACGAGCATCCACACGTGGTCCTGGGGTCGTTAGTGCACCAACCCTTAAGTATTATTGTTCGTGTAAGAAATGGTCACACCTGGAGAGAATTTTATAAGCGTTTACTTGAGCCAAACTGATGGCACATGCTGGGGAGCAAGATCTTAAATGCTCTAGAGAATAACAGTTTTTCAGCTTCTTTTATGCATTTGCAGTTAAGGAGGGAACAGGAAGGTCCCTGAAGCTGAGAGAAGCAACGCAGGGACTGGATTACAGGATAGTTAACAAGATTATGTGCTGTTTTGTGGGTTATTACCCCTTCTGGTGTTTCTATTTGCTTTAATTTTATTTATTTATTTATTTACTTTTCTTTATTGATTTTTAGAGAGAGAGTAAGGGAGAGGGAGAGAGATAGAAACATCGATGAGAGAGAACATCAATTAGCCGCTTCCTGCATGCCCCTCGCTGGGGATTGGCCCCACAACCTGGGCATGTGCCCTGACCAGGAATCGAACCAGTGACCTCTTGGTACATGGGTCGACGCTCAACCACTGAGCCACACTGGCCAGGCGTTATTTATTTATTTATTGAATTTATTGGGGTGACACTGATTAACAAATGATACCGGTTTCAGGTGCACAATTTCATAACACAGCATCTGTGCACTGTATTGTGTATTCACTGCCCCAGATCAAGTCTCCTTCCATCACCACTTCTGGTGTTTCAAAGGTGTGTTAACCTAGATGCACAGCAACAATGGGCTTGCTTAAGGCAAAGATAAACCTTTTACTAAAGAAGTTATAGGTGTGGGGTGTGACAACCCATCATGACCAGCCCAGGTAGGAATTTATGATCCTGTGAGGTTACTTTGCACAGTAACCCATTTTTTCCTTCACGTTATCATCTGTGTTTACAAGTGAACAAACGCGTGTAGAGGGACTGAGGAGCGCGCTCACGTCACATGCTCCGGGAAGCACGGAGCCCGCAGGAGCATTCTGATGCTGAGACTTTTAAGTAGAGTCTGTTCATCTTTCAAATTTTCACTCTACTTTCTTTGACTTATTTCTGCAAAGTAGCTTAATTACCAAATCTCTTTGTAATTGCCAAGAAAAGCAATGGCATGATCAGGAAGTGCTGTTATAAAAACTGTGCAGCTGGAGAATTTGGACTCTCTTCAGTGGATTGAAACACTTCCCTTCCTTTTCCTCCTACACATAGTGATTGAAAATATTTTTCTAGAAAGTTTCATTCTCTAGTTTTAGCTCCTTTTACATTTGTTTTACCCTTTACTTCATTGAGAAGGCTTGAGAGGATTTTTTACATGTACTTTGGAAGTTATCATGTAGAAATTCTTAATCCTTGATTTGAAAACATACATCTTCTTTCCCAGTAATGAAATATTCGTGAAATGAAATCTGAGTTATCTGCAACAACTGATATAGAGCAGATAGAAAGGAAATGACATATATTTATGTAGCTTCTTTCCAGAAAAGAAAAAAATCAAAAAACTATGTAGCAGACTACAGAGGATTTCGAAAACTTATTTTTTCTCTTTCCTTAGGTAAGCCTCCATTACCTTAGGTAATTCGTGGTGAGAGAGAAGTAGGACTTCTTTATTTTTCCTACCTCATTTGTATTTCAGTGAGATTTACCCTTCCTAAAGGGATATAACAACAACAATAAAATATTTATTGCAGGCTTAACATAGGCCAGGCACCTAGATGTCCTGTCCCCAGCTGGATGCCAGAAATTTGTTTTTCCTCCCTGAACCCAGGGTGCAGGCTTGAGTCCTGGGCTCTGCAGTCGGATGTACAGAAAGGAGATTTCCCACTGGAAGCCAGCAACAGGAGTGAGCAGGCAGCAGAGTCCCTTCTGGCCTTGGCCCTGGTGCGGCAGTGGCCAGGGCCAGCTGTGTGAATTGCATGCTGACTCTGCTTTACGGTCTTCACCAGAACAGCTGGGTGACTGATTTGGGAATTTGTCATCTAGCTTTGAGCCTGAACCTCTGAGCCTCTGAGAGTTACCTAATATACTTAAGTTTCTTTTCTGCTTTTCCCAAAGTAGGTTTGTTTCCTTGTCTGTAGCTCAGAACTCTGAATGATGATCAAACAAGTATGTAAAGCTAAAATTAGGTATAGTAAAAATTTCCCTTTGAAATTCTTTGTCACACATAACATGTAACGTCAGACCTAAGGTGTGGCATGTATCCATGTTGAGGACTCATACCTCATGACAAACTCAGAGCTTTGACGACCAGGTCACACTCAGACCATGCTCTCTAAGGGAGGCTCACAGTCCCTCACCTCTATGGCTGAGCTTGGCCTCACTCTGTATGTGCTGCTCCGCTAATTAATTACAAGATTTCAACTGCGCTCTTCTTTGCTGATCCTGTGTGAGGTTCACACATCTTAAAACTGCTCGTGATGTGACATGGTTCTATGTAATAAAAAAGAGAAGGCTCTACATCGGCCTGCGGACCAGAGAGTTTCAGGTTCAGTTCCCGCTCAAGGTACATACCTCGGTTGCAGTTTGTCCCTGGCCCCGGTTGGGGTTGTGTGGGTGGCAGCAAGTCAGTATGTCTCTCTCGCATCAATGTTTCTCTCTCTCTCTCCCCACCTCCCTCACTCCCTCCCGCTCTATCTGAAGATAAATGCAAAAAAATATCCTTGGGTAAGGATGAAGAAAAAAGAGAAAGCTCTAATGGTAGAATTTTTGTAAATGCCTGGCAGGCTGCTATGTAAATTTCTGGATCTGCCCGGCCAGTGTGGCTCAGTGGTTGAGCGTTGACCCATGCACCAAGAGGTCACCAGTTCGGTTCCCGGTCAGGGCACATGCCCAGGTTGTGGGCCAGATCCCCAGTGAGGGGCATGCAGAAGGCGGCCAATTGATGTTCTCTCTCATCGATGTTTCTATCTCTCCCTCTCCCTTCCTCTCTTTCTAAAATCAATAAAGGAAAAAAAATTCAATAGGTGAGCTTCGTGGTTGTGCTCTCCAGCTGGCTTCAGCTGTATCCCGAGAAGGTCATTCAACAGCCTAGCAGTTATGCAGAAATGTTCCTCTCTTGATGGTACCCTGAGAAGTACTATAAAAGATATAAAGCGTTGAGCTTCTTATGAAATAGTCTCTTTAATAATAGGAGACTACGTATTTCTGCACTTGGTTTGAGACGACAATTTGGTCATTTCCCACAGCCTTAAAAAATGTCCATGTATTTTTTGGCATCTGACACAGCGCATGGAATATATGACTTTAGCAACTGCAGATCCAAAGCCGCAGGAAGTATACTCCTTGTTAGACCCACAGTAATGTTCTCATAGGCCTCGGACATGGAACAGAGAGCTCTTCCCTCGCCCTTTACTTCATTTATCTTTCTGTTTCAGGCCACCATCTCTCAGCAAAATGACACATTCGTTTTTGATCTGAAAACCTCAGCCGTCGCTCCCTTTGTTTGGTTGGATGTAGGGAGCATCCCAGGGAGATTCAGTGACAATGGTTTCCTCATGACTGAGAAGACTCGGACTCTACTGTTTTACCCCTGGGGGCCCACCAGCAAGAGTGAATTGGAGACATCTTTTCAAGTGACTTCTTTGACTGATATTTACTGAGGGAATCCGGTGTACTGTCAGTGGCACCAGAAGGAAGTGGTTCGGAGGCACTGGCTGGAGCTGCCGGCAACCAGAGACAAGGGAAGAAGTCAGGAAGGGGCTGCTCGCTGCCACGCACCCGATGCATCGCTCTGCCAAGAGTGTGCACAGCTTCTTTCCGGGAAGGCTGTCCGCCGGGGCCGGCCGCCAGCGCGGCTGTGCCAGGAGGGTGATTTTAGGTCTTCTCCGCCCAGCTTGACCACCACATGAACCAGTTATAACCCAACCGCCTCTCCCTGGCCAGAAAAGGTCCACATAGGTCGGCCTCCTGGGGAACCACGGGCCCGTGACCACAGGGCTTCAGATTTGGCTCCATCCAATGAGCCTTTCAAGTCAAAGGAAATAGATTTAGACTGTTGGCCCTGGCAGAAAAGTAGCATTCTTTTTAGCTTGGGTTTAAATCATTTACCTTTATTGATTAATTGTTTGAGGCTATAAAATGACTTTATTATGAATGATCATATTTATAAAATCACATTGATAATTAAGCAAATGGGGCATAATGTGAATAAGTGCCGATTTGGGAAAAGGTTTGTAGGGATTTTTTGTACTGCTTTTGCAACTTCCTGTAAGTTTGAAATGATATCAAAAATTAAAATTTATATACATTGCATTGACAACTGGATATTTTATGTGTGGCTTAATCATTTCACAAACATTCTCAGCTGTGCCAAAACTGTGTGCTGGGCATTAATTTTCATTTAACTCTGGTCAGATTTTTATTCTAGTTGATAAACTGGGAGAGTTTAGAGAATCTGACCATGATATTTGAGGGATTTTCTCTGGGAAGAATCATGTAGTTGGCTACAGAGTAGACCAGCAATGAAAGTTTGGCTTTAAAATCAAGAAAATAAATGCAGACGTTTCAGGCCTTTTGTTCAGTAACTGAGAGTTTCCTCATTTTATGTGTCATTCATATATAAAATATAAACCTATGAGAGACGGGGACTTAGGGATGTAACCAAGAAGATTCTTATTTAAAAAATATGACATTTTCTTATCACTGTTGAAATCCTGCTTAATCAGACGGTTGCCGAGGGGCAGTAGGGTACTCCTCTCCATAAACTAGAGAATATTCTATGCCAAGTGCCCTGTGCCACTGTGGTTGTTGGGCCAGAATTTACATCACAATTTTGCCCTGTATAGCTCTGTGACTTTGATCAAGTAACTTCTATGTTCAGTTTTCTTGTGGTAAAAGGAAATGTTTGTTTGGAAGAATGATTAATAATTTAGCCGAAGGGATGCAAGTGGAAGTACCATCCTGCAGTGTTGTCCGGGAGGCGCGGGGTGTCCGGCCGAACTTCCTGGGATGGGAATCCAGGGTCGGAGGCCTATTGGCTGTGTGACCTTGGGCCACCACTTGACCTTCTGGACTTTAGTTTGCTCATTTATAACATGGAGCTAATAATCTCTAATCTTCAAAGGGAGGAATAAACAAATAGGGTCTGGAATAAAATAAATGCTCAGTAAATGGTGGCTGTACTTTTTTTTTTTATCCTCACTGGAGGACACTTTTTTGTATTTATCTTCAGATGGAGCAGGAGAGGGGAGGGGGGAGAGGGGGGAAGAGAGAAAGAGAAACATCGACGTGAGAGAGACACATAGACTGGTTGCACCCACATGACCCCAACTGGGGCTGGGGACAAACTGCAACCAAGGTTCATGCCCGTAGCAGGAACCGAACCCAGGACTCTCTGGTCCGCAGGCTGACGTTCTAGCTAACCGCTGAGCCAAACCAGCCAGGGCAGTGGTTGTACTTTTTGAACATCATGATCATTGTCACTCAATCAGTACATGAAGCTATAATAAAAACTGATACCATGGAAACCTTCATTCATTTCGCTTTTGTAACATTATAAGAGGTTTCTTTTTTCTTAGGGGGCATTGATACCATTGTAATAACCTGGTTATTCATTAACAGGAAGGGAGCAAAGGGGAGACTAGATAATAGAGGCATGCATTTGTACAGCTTTGCCAGGAAGCTGCAGTTTAACATTCTCCAAGTCTGTTCCCCATACATTGATGAGGGAAGGGACTGGACAGAGGCAGTTTAGACGCATGCTCAGTAAGGTCTGAGTGCCCTGGGAAGATGCTTGCTTGTCAGTCACGCCTGAAAAGAGGTCATTGCCAGAATAGGCGTGGCCACTGCAAAGGCATGACATCTGAGATGCTTAAGCTCCTAAACAAGGGGGTTCTCGCCCTCTTGACCATTTTGGTCCTTGCTTGCTCTCTTGTTGCTCAAGCCTGGCTCCTGGCTGGTGAGGCTCACATGCTCCTGCAGTCGCCCACATGGCTCACAGGCATGTGCACCCCCACACAACAGACTAATGGACTGTGATTCGCCTGATGCTACACTGGACTTAACTCCACCATGGAATGGGAACTCTGGTCACTGACTTTGCTTCTGGCTCTGCTGAACCCCCAGCTACCCCTTTCCAGGACTGGCTTAAGGGAAACAGGACTTTGTAAACCAAGGAATAGAACTCCATAAAAATAAAGCCTTTTACCACATTTCATCCTCCCGTGGGGGCCTCCAGAAACGCTTATTCCAGTGACACCCTAGGAACTCACTAGAGATGGAGAAATTCCACCCATGCAGTTCTCCAATAACAAAAGGAAGCAAATAAAGGCAAATGTCTTTAAGATTTTTTTTAAGAGTGGAAAAAGATATCAGAGAAGAATGAATTTTTAAAGAAAGAATAAATGGGCATAAATATATGCTGGCAACAATTTGTAAAAGGAGAGACATGTGCTATATAACACATTATTTCTGTAGGAGAATAGTAACTTTCAGAACATTCTCCCACAGTTCATGTGTGGCCCTGTGGTTAGTCATGCCTACCATTTTAATAGATTTATTTTGCCGCATTTACTGGAATGGAGTCTGGTGTACTTACTCTTGGCTTTGGATTTCTGAGAAGGTTTTTCTGTTACCAGTTATATAAACGGTTATCCTTTATTGAGGGATGGGGAAGATCGGGAGGGGGTCTTTCTGCTGTGTTGGTTGCAAAGCACATTCCAGAGAGAGAAACCGGAGGGAGGTGAGTTCACAGGATTGCATCTTCCCAGTTTAGAATAAAGGACAAGAAAAATGGTAATTTTCTCATTCACATTCACTGTAATTCTTTTTTTTTTCCCTCTTACTTGACTTTTCTTTGTGAGAAGTCACTTGGAAAATAAATAGGAACATTTTGTTCTCTGTTGCAGTGAAAGGGAACTGGAGTGCAGGAGAACTAGCGATAGGTTTCCCAAGCATTCCTAAAGTGACAGAAGGAATATTCTCTTGGGCTACCTCTGCCTCTCAGATGTGAAACTTATTCCCCAGCTAAGTAAGATTTAGGGAGAAAAACAAGTAGGCATTGTTTGGGAAATTCAAAGCATTTAAAAATATCCCTAGAGTCTACCTTGATTCTGAATGCAATCTTATCAATTCAGTAAGCACAAAAAATAAGAAGGGTCATGTAGAAAAGGTAGTTAGTAATATTTCCAGGTCAGTGGGGGAGTTCTTGTTTTCTAACTGACTTATCAGAGGCTATGAACCAGAGTGATGCTGTACAAAACCCTAAGTCACAGACAAAGCCGGTGTTCGGACACATTTATATTCTGACTGTAAAGACAGTTTGACTTAAGAATGTACATTCATTTACCAAGCCTTTATGGAGGGTCACTCGGAGCAGGCACTGTTCCTGTCACTGGAGGTATTGCAATGAAAAATGACCAACGAGTCTCTGCTCTCAAGGACCGTCCATTGCATGGGGAGACAGACAATAAGCAAGTAAACAAATAAGGGCATTTCAGCTGGTGACAAGTCCCATAAGGTTAATGTGACAGTGATGGGGGAGCAATGTTAGCTCAAGCCATCTTTTAAAACACTTTGGGAAAATTCTTTGAAAGTTTATGATTAAAAAAAGTGAAAAAAATTTTTTCCGTTGTGAAAGGAGTTGTAAAAGACCTCAGCTGTAATTAATATATGAGGAAGGAAAAGCACACGACCAACCAGTCTGCAGGCTGGGCTCTGAGCTTTGATCGAAAATCTGAGTGTGGCTATCCTTCCAGAACATCTTGGAGCCCTTGAATAGGGGCCACACAGTGAACGGGCTTTGCAGAAGTAAGGGCATTGCATCGTGTTGTAACTACCTCTCCTTATCTCTGTAGATGGGGGTTACTGAATCCTGCCATGTTTGCAACAGTAACACTGCTTAACCCCTTAGCTTGGGTCTCACCCTGCACACGATTTATTGAGCACCAGCGTCTTTCACATCATGCTCTGCAGTGAGTGAGTGCAAAGGATGACAGCAACACCACGAGACTTAGAATTCCCGGGAAAGGGGATGTCAGGCTCCCGGAAATATCTGGTTGAGAACTGGCACTCATTCCTGCCTCATAATCTATGTGGGAACAACCTTCTTTTCTTATTCTGTTTTGTTACTATGATGGCTTTTGTGCAATTTACTGGCTTCTGGGAGACACTCACATATTCCCAGCAGTTTGAGCAGACTTTGTTGGCCGGCCATTCTACAGCCATATCCCCCTCTTCTCTCTTCACAGGGGTGGCTATATGTCCAGCCCCAGGGACGGAATCATAATCAGTTATACCAATTCCACTCTGTTTTGCCAGTGATTGATCCAGGGTTAGGCATATTATTCAATTCTGGCAAATGAAGCATAAGTTGATACTTAATATGGGGTTTTAGGGACAGATTTTCCTGCCTGATAAGAGAGAGACCTGAGGAGAAGCCCTCTGCTGTTGGGTGAAGTTGAGAAGTTTCTGTGTGAAGACCTGATACTTGGAGCTGCTGCAGCCTTTTCATGACCTTGAGGAAACATTGTTAACATTGTGGGATGTCAGAGGTGTTGAACTGCTGAACTAACCCTAAAATTTTCTGACTCTGATCTTATTAAAAAAAAACAACAACAAAAAAAACTCTGGCCCTATGTGTATAATCCAGTTGTAGTCAGGCATTCTGATTATATAACCAAAAGCGTCCTGACTGATCCAGCAGTTAAAGGTATGGGCTTTGAAATCAGACATACGTATGTTGTGGTCCCA